ATAGATCTAACAGGCTCTCGCAATTTACTAGATCTAAGTTCTTATTGAAAATAGCCTTTAATATCAAATTAACATCTGCTCGATTCATCAATTTAATATTGCTATACTTTTACAAGCCGCAATTGTAAAACATTAAAACAATTCAATAAGAAATTATCATGCAATACCAATAATCAATAATAGTAATCATCAATGCATCAATTACCAGATTGTAAAGGGCTCTCGCTACATATTACAATCACACAATTAATTTACCGGTATTAAATCTCATCTCTCGAATCTTGACTTAACCATTTATAAATTAACTTGCCTATTGAAACTAGACCTAAACATTAATTCTCATCTCTCGATTCTTGAATCAATATTGTCAAACTCATGCATAAAAGATAGGCCTAATCTAGTCACAAAGCATTACATTAATCAATAGGAAATTAATCTAGCATTGATAATCAACAACAACAAATTACCCCTTCATACTATTTATTAGATCCCCATAAACCCTAGAAATTAAACTACTCACACATAATTAAATATAAACTAAACAAAGCAATTAAACAAGACATGATAGAAGAAATAAAATAAATAACTGAGATTAAACAAAGAGTTGTAGAGAGAGAAACAAGAGAGAAAATAATACTAAGAGTTTAATTAAGGGAGAGAGAGAAAAGTTAGAGAGATAAAGAGAGAAGAAAAACTAAACTAAAAAAGGAAAACTAAAAACTAAAACTAACTAAAAAAAAAAGAAAATAAAAATAAAACTAAACTAAAGCTACCAACCTACGTACTACTACACCTTTTATAAGAAAAGTCAAAGGACTTTTATTCCCACTCAAACTCCTCACCAAACAAATTCCTTCAGCAAATAAAGACGTGTTCAGCGAAGTAAGGCCCAAGGATTTGTAGGCCCAATATCTTAAATAGCCTAAGTGAGTCGCTGATTATATCTGCCCGATCGGGCCATGCCTCCCCCGATCGGGCCCGGTTAGCTTGGGCTGCAAGCTGGGCTTCAAAGCTCTACCTCCCTTTTGTTCTTGGACTTGGTCTTTTAGAGTTCATTAGCCCAAATTCATTCACTTGTTTGATCCGTGATATAAGAACTTGTAAAATCTTGGACCTTCTCTTGTATCAAGCCCTTAATCATCGGATTAAATTCTCTAACTCGGCCTTGGGCTTAAAATATACGGTCATAAGATACGATCCGACTCTACGTAGTGGCTCAATAAGATCAGGAATTATCGTAATTCTGCAAATTCCTACAAAATAATACCAACTCTACAAAAACACTAGAAAACGTATATTAGTAATAAAAATAGCTCCGTAGAACTCAAATAAGCACAAATATGACCGTGGAACGGGGAATAAAAATATATATAAAGTAGACTTATCACAGAACCTTAACAAATCTTGAATCTCAAAGTTTCGTTTCCAAATGTATGAACCTAGATCTAGAAGAGTAGAGGCTATTCCCTTAGTTAAAAAGAATTGGTCTTAAAGAAATTTGGATATAGATTTTTTTATTATTTTTTATTGCGCTGAAATGACAAGATTAAAGAAAATTTTAAACATTGAAATTTTCAGAAGTATGACAATATTCAATAACATCACTCATGAATGGTAAAATACAAATATTGTATATGAAGTTTATGGTAAATACTTATAAACATTATCTACATTTCTACAAACCCGATTCAACACCAACGCATTAAACATGTGAAGATGGATATTGATTTTGCTCGAGACAAGTCTTGTAATTATATATATATTGATCAATGGTACACACCCCAATTTAAGGAGTTTTCTCGAAATCTAACAAATATTGTCTTTATTTTATATTACTTGCAACAATTGAAAAAAACAAAAGGATATTTATATTATTTCCAACAAATGTTTACTATCTTGCTTTAATTGTCATATTTTTTTCTCTCTTTCATCATCATATGCATGTCATGCATGCATCTCTTTCTTTCTATCTTCTTTTAACACTCACAAACAAATTATATTTCTAAATCTATACAATCCTCTAAAATTATAATTAATAAAAATTGAGGTATTATAAAATACTGACTTTTAAGTTAGCTGTCAATTCGGATATTCAAGTCGAGTTCGGGTCCGGTCAAATCAGTTCTCGGGTTAAATAAGGATCAGGTTATGTCAGGTCAATCTAGCTTTAGATCAGGTATAGGTTCGGATCAGATCAATATCAGTTCGGGTTATAACGGATCGTTCACTTTTTCGGATATAGGACGGGTTCAATTCTAGTCAAATTCAGATCGGGTTTAATGATTCGGATTTGGATGGGTTAATAAGATAGTACATTCGGGTTCGAGTTAGTGTTGAGTTGGATTTTGGTTCAAGTTCAATTCTAATAAATATTGATGTGGTCAAGTTGAACTATATAATTACGCCTTCCATTGTTTGATCAAGCATCATCAAGATTTTGTTAAACCTATATACGAGTAATAGAGAACAAAAGGTATATAAGCTGAACATAATATTTTATTAAATCGGATTGAGGGCTTACATATTTATACCAGTATAAGCTGAGCAAAAGTTATATAAAATTTTATTAAACCTTCCATAACTCGAGTACAGGTTTTGATTGGATCGGGTACTAGTTCAGGTTCAGATTGTTGTCGGATCGGATTAAATCGATTGACGGTTACTATCAGGTTAGGTGCAGGATCGGGTTTAGGTCATAAAGTATTAAATCAAATCGGTTTTCGGTTAAGATCAGATCGGTTACATGTCACTATTTTCACTCCATTGTTCGTGCACAGATTGGGTTCAGATAATTGTTGATTCTAGTCGGTTTCTCAGGTTGGATCAATTTTTAAGGGCTCTAGTTTTAAGATATAAAACAACAATTCAAGCGTTGGATATATAAATTAGGATTGCCGGAATGTTGTGTCAAAATATAAAGTTAGCCCCTTATGAGTGTTATGACTCCGTAAATGTACAAGTCTTCACATAAGCCCATTGACATAAGACCCACAAGGAAAATACAACTGGATTAAAAAGTAGAGCACATTGGTATAAAATGGACTCTTCCCCAATAAGTAGGAGGCAATTTTACCCAACTCGCCTATGTTTTGCACAAATTAAAATTACATTATCCAAATCAAATTTATCCGCCTTAATTTTATAGCATAACATAACATAAAGTTTGAATTAAATATAGCTTTAGTGGCTAGAGTTTTTCCTCCCACTTCCAAAGCATTATGGGATCAATTATCATCTCCATCCTTGTGGCTCTAAACACACCAAAACAAAGTATAATAATAATAATAAATAAATAAATAAATAAATAAATTCTATCAATAATAATAATAATAATAATAAATACAATAAAATAAAATTCTAACATTAACTTGCTATTAAAAAAAAATACTCCAAATATTATTCCAAATTTTCTCCTTTTCTCATTTTATGTAATTGATTCCATATGCATGAGATTGTCATATTGAAACGGAGAGAGTAATAATAATAATAGAGAATCCAACATCCTTGAGGCAAAAATTGCACAAGGCAAGGATATTCGACCACTAGGAATAAGCCTCCTACAACATGAAAAGTATCATTTTATATGCTAAAGATCAATATTGCAAATTTTAAAATAAAATTACAGCATTGAATGTATGTAGTTAACACCCATTACAAAATAAAAATACAAAATTGATCAAACAATTATATGAAATAAGAGTGATTCTGGTATTGTTGGTCCGGGACCGGCCTTTGATGGTGCTCTTAGTCTTTTTAACAGGACTGTGGAGACTGACCTTTTGAGTAACCCTAGTGAGATCGCTGCCCCCAGACTCATGAAAAAATGGCAGAGATATATAACACGAAGGTCACTTCATCTGTGGATTCCACTTTCTCCTTATCTCCGCGTCAGGTTGCCTTATGGAAGTCCCAACAGTGGAATCACTCTTCGGCCTGGTTGCGAACGGTCCCGATATCGGGTTTGGGTCAGACTATGAATGGTAAGACTTACTGTTGTGTTCTTTGCTATCGATTGGGTGTTCCATTGTTCTCCGTTTCAACACCGTGTTCTACTTGCTCAAGGGTTTTTGATGGAGATATTTATGGGGATCATGCAGTATCTTGTGCTGGGATAGAAGGTATTAAACATCGGCATAACGTTGTTCGTGACACCCTTGTTGATATTTGTTTTCGGTCTGGGATTTCTGCTCGAAAGGAAGTCAACGTTGGGTTGACTGGTGGGAACGAGGGGGCGCTACGACCAGCAGATGTGTTGCTTTATTCCTGGGATAGAGGACGTGATGTATGTGTCGACTTGACGGGGTCTTCACCTTTGACACATTTGGGGTTGTCTGACTTCGTTCCTGGTCGTGTTGTGTCGGCGGCGGCTCAGCGGAAGCGGGACAAGTATGGGGCACGTTGCAGGGCTAATGGCTATGGTTTTCTTCCTTTCTCCTTTTCTTCATTAGGGGAATAGACAAGGATGCTATTGCGTTGCTGAAGCGGGTTCAGGCGTTCGCTAAGACTCGGGATATTGGTGCTCGTGCAGCTGCTCACATCTTCAGTAGGATCGGGTTCGCTATAGCTAGAGGGGTGGGAGCCCAGATTGTATCTCGGCTCCCTACCAATTTCTTGTAAATTGATTGAATTTGTAGGTTTTTTTAATTTTTATAATAATAATAATAATAAATAAATAAATTCTATCAAAAAAAAAATAATAATAAATAAATACAATAAAATAAAATTCTAACATTAACTTGCTATTAAAAAAAAAATACTCCAAATATTATTCCAAATTTTCTCCTTTTCTCATTTTATGTAATTGATTCCATATGAGATTGTCATATTGAAACGGAGAGAGTAATAATAATAATAATAGAGAATCCAACATCCTTGAGGCAAAAATTGCACAAGGCAAGGATATTCGACCACTAGGAATAAGCCTCCTACAACATGAAAAGTATCATTTTATATGCTAAAGATCAATATTGCAAATTTTAAAATAAAAGTACAACATTGAATGTATGTAGTTAACACCCATTACAAAATAAAAATACAAAATTGATCAAACAATTATATGAAATAAAACAGAAGAGAGTCCATCTTAATTAAGGATTAACAAATTTGTCTAAATATTACAGCAATTACACATCAAAAGATAATCAAATCTGAAAAACAAGGTAGGCAAAGGTAACATAAGCAAAGAAGAAACAATTGTTGACAAGCCATGGTGCTGCATTGCTTTTACGAGTCGTAGGAGCACGATTGTTTAGATTACCACCACCGCCGGTGCCTCTGCCGCCACGACCACCCTGTCTCCGGTAGGCATGGATGGCATGATTTCCCCAATCAATGTTATTATTTGTAACTTTGTTACCATTTTCATTAGAAGAAAGTTGTTGTCCATTATTGCATGACGTCTTATTTACTATTGTCTCATCTGTAACATGCAAATTGCAAGTTTATTTACAACCTTATATTACCAATATAAATTCATAAAAGTAATCTTTTTAGTAGTGGTATGAAATTAAACATCAAACTATAAATTAATCAACAAATTATAAATTAATCATCAAAGACAGTCAACTTTTCATTCACCAATTTTTTATACTAATTATATAATTAGCTAGGTAGGTAATTTTATTTACATGTTCATTTTTATTTTCTACCATGTATGATATGAAATAATTATCACATAATTTACTTCAAAATATTATCTCGATTGAGAAGATGAATTATATACCATATATTTATACCCAAAACAATGATCAAGAATCACTAAATATGATTTTACTGTCTTCGTTAGTGATCTAATAAAAAATTTAATAGTATTGTTAAACTTAATTAGCATAATTATTAATCATAAGCAATGCCACATTAATTTGCAAATTAGATCCTACGCTTGAAAGCAAAGCAAAGATATACGGGAAAAAATATATATGAATGAAAATAATAAAAGAAAGAAGATTTATTACAAGTACCTTTAAAAGATGCATCATGATTAGCTGGGGAGCTGGATTTGGCTACTGATATCAAATTTGAGAAGGCTAGAAAGGAAATGATGAAGAACACAAAAACAAGTTTCATGTTTAATTTTTTTTTTTCTTGATTGGGTGAGTATAATTTTTACTTTGATGAAAGTTATTTAAAGTTAGTTTGAGAACTAAGTACGAAACTACTTCATTGAATGATTGGTTTTGCTTTTGGAAAAGTGAAAGGTGCTTTCACGTGTCTGCAGTACAATACCTCAATCATTAGTACTAATTTTAATTATCTATAATTACATTTATGTTGAAAGTTGTATACTACGTATTAACAATTCAAGTTAATAATGGTGTTTTTCAAAAAAACAAAAAAAGTTGATAATGGTGGTTCAACTCCTAACGATCTGGATGATTTACAAATAATGAATCATTGTTTTAAAACTTATTTACACTTCTATTAACTAGTACTAAAATAGAAGTTACTGACGTCACCAAGTCACCATTTTTCACGTGTCGCTTTTTCAATAAAAAAATTTCCTCTTAAATGCAATGATGATGTCATTTTTTTTGTTTTGTAGAGCTATCATATTTAACATTTTTTAAATTTAAATATTGAAAGCTTGTACATTACAACCAAAACCTATCAATTTATCATAAAGAAAATGAAACACTTTTAAATTATACATTAATAAATGACATTCTTCATTGAACTATGAATTAGACAACGTTGTACATATACTCTATCATAATTTTTATGAAAATAAAAAATTTTAAAATTACAAAATATACGTAATTCTTATTTATATTCATGTATAATGGCGATTTATTTTTAACATGTAGAAATTAAAAATAGGTTTTATATAAACCGTGCACCGCACGGGTTCTAACCTAGTTGTTTTAATAAAACTTAACTATGGTATAGAACTATTGTTCACTTAAGATAGCAATTTTGGTAGTTAATATGGAACTATTGTTCACTTAAGATAGCAATTTTTGTATGGAGTAGTTAACTGCACGGGACATAAACTAGTTAATATGGAGCTAGTCGTAATTAATATTCTACTCCCTCCGTTTCAAGTTACTCGCAACAATTACAAAAAATGGCCGTTTCACATTACTCGCAACAAACTTTTTATTCCTTTTATAGTAAGTTTTTATGTTTGATTTTACAAAATTACCCTTACTTTTTTTTTTTTAAAAAAAACACCCTAATTAAACTACTTATTTTAAGTTATTAACTTTAAACCTAACATTGATTAACTTAATTATTTTCACCAAAATCATTCTCCTTCAATCTATATTCATTCTCACCACCACCACCACCACCAATCTCCATTTTATGTTCATCAACCCAAAAACTTCTCTCTTTGTTCATTCTCACCACCACTACCACCACCACCACCACTACCACCACAACCAACCTCTGTTTTCTTTCTCTTTCTCTTCTTGTTGTTTTGTAATTGCCGGTGAAGCATATATTTGAAGGTTTTATGGTCAAATTTAACCATTAAAACTCTAAATCTAGAGTTTTAATGGTTGAATTTGACCAATTAAAGTTGTAATTGATGATAGATAGTTGTGGGTTTCAGATTTTAGGTTTGTGGGTTTCTGGGTTTGTGGTTGTGGGTGGTGGGGTTGTGGGTTTCGTGGTGCTGCTGGGTTTCTGGGTTTGTGGTTGTGGGTGGTGGGGTTGTGGGTTTCGTGGTGCTGCTGGGTTTCTGGGTTTGTGGTTGTGGGTGGTGGGGTTGTGGGTTTTGTGGTGCTGCTGGGTTTCTAGGTTCGTGGATTGTGAATTGTGGGTGGTGGGGTTTCTAGGTTCGTGGGTTGGGGTGGGTTTTTGGGTTCGTGGTTGTGGGTGGTGGGGTTGTGGGTTTCGTGGTGCTGCTGGGTTTTTGGGTTTGTGGATTGTGGGTGGTGGGGTTTCTAGGTTCTTGGGTTATGGGTTCGTGGGTTGTGGAAAGTGGGGTATCTGAGTTCGTGGGTTGTGGGTGGGTTTTTGGGTTCGTGGGTTGTGGGTGGTGGGGTTTTTAGGTTCGTGGGTTGTGGGTGGGTTTCTGGGTTCGTGGGTTGTGGGTGGTGGGTTTCTGGGTTTCGGTTTCGTGGGTGGTGGGGTTGTGGGTTCGGTGCTGCTGGGTGGTTAGTGGGTTTGCGCTGCTAGGTGGTGGTGTTGGGTGGTTTCGTGGTGCTAGGTGGTGGTGGTGGGTGGTGGTTTTGTGGTACATCTAGTGTTGGTTGGTTTTGTGGTGTTAGATGGTGGTGTTGGGTGGTTTTTATTTATTTATTTATTTATTATTTTTTTTTGGGTTGGATTAACACTTAAGTGTATGCTCTTATTTTTCATTAATTATTTTTTCAATCTTTTGCCTAGGAGTCTGCAATCACCCCCTTTGTTGCGAGTAACTTGAAACGGAGGGAGTATATTAAGCCTTCTTGTTAATATAGTGGCATTTTAAAAAATAAAAGCACTCCCCCCCCCCCTCCGGCCTTGCCGACCATCCCCTCCAATGGCCACTCAGTTATGTATCTCTACCCCTCCCATGGCTACTATTCCTTCTCTCTCCTCCTCTCCTATGGCCTTAACGATCATTTGACCACCATCGCGAGTCTAAACCGGCCGGCCGGCCAAACAAAAAACACCCCAGTAATATAAAAAGTGGTCTCATACTAATCCATTAGGGAAAGAGTGGTGCTCGCGGAGGTGTGACGGTCGTTAAGTGGTACTAATAGTTGTGCAGTGGTCAATTGGTGGTGGAAGTGGTCGATTGGTGGTGGTAGTGGTTGTACGGTGGTAGGATGCTCGTGCTAAAGGTCATGCAATGGTCGGATGATGATGCAAATGGTTGTATAGTAGTCAAAAGGTGGTGCCAGTGGTGATAGAGGGAGAGAGAAAGGGAATATTTGCTCAAGAATTTACCAAATTAACCCTTGATATTAACAAATTATGTTGATATTGGATATCAACTTGTATATATTTTCTAGTTATCATGGAGTATATATTTAACAACAATTTAAATTATGACATTAAGTGTAAATGATGCGCATTAGTTTTTACGTGTTGACATGTGTTTAAATAATGCTTAATTTAAAACTTTTAAATTGTCGTAAATTTTTATAAAATTTGGTAAAACCGTGCATTGCAACCACCATGTATGAAGTACCTCCTTCATTTTATTTTAGTTGCAACGTTTAAAAATTTGCATTATTTACGTTTTTATATTCAACCAACTATGTTGATTTATATAGTCATGTAGAAATTCGTTTAATTTGAACTTCGAGCTTCAATGCTACTTAGTTAAGCAGAGAAAATGCTATTTTAAAGTAGAAAACATAGGTCTTCTAATAATGGAGGAAATAAAATCAAAATTGAACACATAGTTATTGAAGTTATCATACTCCCTCCTTGTTTTAATAAGTGTTACACTTTCTTTTTTGGAAAAAAGTTACATTAAAATATTATATCTCTCTTCTCTCATGATTCTCACCCAAGCCCACTACTACTTTTTTAATTATATCTTTCCCCTCACATTCATTACTTTTGAATAAACTATTAACCCCACTTTATTTCTTTTACAATTTTTTATAATCCTCCAACCACCTCACTTAACTTTTATTTTATTTAAGTCTATTAAATTGCCTAAAACTATGTGCCGGTTATACTGTAACACTTAAAAAAACACAGAGGGAGTACATTAGTTGAATTTTTGAAAAATGGATGCATTTCTTTCAATTTGTGAAGAAATTCACTGAGAGTTAGTTAGAGCTTGAAGGTTCTTGACAAGGTAAAGTCGTATCCCCTAATAAAAAATAATTACCTAAGTCCTCTAACTAAAGTAGATAGGGAAGTAGGGTCGAACTCCACAGGGAAATAAGTCTTTCTATTCCTAATTAACTAATATAATCTAGAATATGAAGTAACCAATATGTAAATTTGAATGTAAAACTAAACTACGAAGAATGAGAATAGGGAGAAAAAAAATATATAAAAGGATCTAGAGGATAGGTCCACCAATAAATAATACTCCAGGGTAAAACATAATAATCAATCATTGACATTGCATAAATAACATGATTAACAGGCTCTCGCAATTTATTAATCAACATAGATCTAACAGGCTCTCGCAATTTACTAGATCTAAGTTCCTATTGAAAATAGCCTTTAATATCAAATTAACATATGCTCGATTCATCAATTCAACATTGCTATACTTTTACAAGCCATAATTACAAAGCGTTAAAACAATTCAATAAGAAATTCTCATGCAATATCAAAAATCAATAATAGTCAATCATCAATGCATCAATTAACCAGATCGTAAAGGGTTTTTTCTACGTATTACAATCACACAATTAATTTACCGGTATTAAATCTCATCTTTCGAATCTCGACCTAACCATTTATAAATTAACCTGCTTATTGAAACTAGACCTAAACATCAATTCTCATCTGTCGAATCTCAAATCAATATTGTCAAACTCATACATGCATAAAAGATCAGGCCTAATCTAGTCACAGAGCATTAAATCGATCAATAGGAAATTAATCTAGCATTGACACTTAACAACAATAAATTACCCCTTCATATTATTTATGGATCCCCACAAACCCTAGAAATAAAACTACTCAGACATAATTAAATATAAAATAAACAAAGCAATTAAAGGAGACATGATTAAAGGAATAGAATAAATACTCAAATTAAGAGAAGAGAAATAGTTACCAAACAAATATGGAATTAAGAATGGATTAAGTACAAAGGTTTAAGAAGGAGAGAATCTAAGAAAACAATTAAGAGAGTAAAGAAAGAGTAAAATGAAAAGAAGAGAGAGCTAAAATCGTATTACGGAGGAGTATTTATACTCCGTACAAATCCTAAACTAAAACAAACTAAAACGACGTTTATCGTCTCCTAATAAATACACGCGCCTGATCGGGCGCGCCTTTTTGCTTCCTCAATACTAATCTCGCGCCCGGCCAGGCGCGTCATCGGGCGCCAACCTTACCTTCTCCCGCCCGGCCGGGCGCGCCTCCGGGCGCCAGCCTCTTTGGCCGGGCGGCTCACTTGGGCCACTATTTGGACTACGATTGGGCTCCAATTCTTCGGGCCAATTTAGGTTTCCTCTTCCGGTCTTGAATACTCGGTCCAAATGCCCCGGTATCACCTATACCGAGACCTTAATCACCGGTTCGATGGCTCTAACCGGCCCTGGGCTATAAAATCTGGTAGTGTTTCTCCAGTGCTCGTGATTGGTCCAAAATAACTCGGGAAAATACTCCAAAAGCATAAATCTCTGCAAAAGTCAACCAAATCTACGAAAACACTAGAAAACACCAATTAGTAATAAAAGTGGCTCTAAAGAGCCAAAAACACTACTAATTACGACCAAGGGACGGGGGTAAAATACTATATAAAACAGACACATCAGTTCTTGCAAGAAGTTAATAGAATAGGAAGAACTTTTAAGTAAGAATAGTTGTTGGCCTTGGTGAAAAAATCAGTAACATTTTAGCATCTTGAATGTACAGAATCTTAAATTCATGGTTATCATCATAATACCAATGATTTTTTGTAAATAACCACCCCTAAATGTACCTTGTATTGAATTAACCACCCATTTTTTTCGAAATTAAAAATTACTACCCATTAATGTCAAAACCCTTATATTTCACCATCCTTCTCTAATTCCGGCCAGTTTTCCGACTTTGGGGTCCACAACATATAAAATCAAAATTAAAGTAAAAAAAAAACCCCAACCCACCACTGCCACTTTCGATAGGCGCTAGCTATGCAACCTCCGGCACCCCGTCCCCTTCTCCGTTTCCGTTTCCGTTTCCGGCACCCCTACCTTCCCCGTCCCTGTTTCTAGCAATCCTTCCCTTCCCCAGAAAAATTGAACCAACAAATTTAAACCCTAAAAGAAGAAAATTTAATTAAACTAAAAAAATAATAGAAGAACGCAACCTTGAATTGAGTAGAGGAAGTGGCGACATCGGTGGGTTTTCATGAGGAATCAGCGACGTGGGTGGTTTTTCGTTAAGAAGCGGTGATGTGGGTGGGATTTTGTGTAACACCCCAATAATTCTCTGTTTAAACCAGTGAGTACCCTGAACAAAATCCAAGAGAATTACTAGCGTGCTACCGCCACGTGTTCAAACATTAAGGCTATATCAGAAATTAGCAGTGGAAAAACTAAATCAGTTATATAAATAAGTTTCAAAAACAACGAATGAAACCAAATTCAGTCATACAACTTGGAATTATTAAGGCTCTTAATCAAAACCCAACAAAAGTAGCAAATAAATAAAACCAAAGTTTAAATAAATTCAAACTTATGAAAATAAATAAACTGCTAATAATAACCAACTCTGCACTCAAAATCCCACACCCTGATGCGAATGCTGCATGTGTAAGAACCTGTGGTTAATCTGTTCCCCATATTACAAGTGTAAAAATTGGATCGTCACAGGGTCATTGAAAGGCGAAGGCCATGACCAAAGAAAGACACATAAAGCACGCAATCATCAAAGCTGAGTACATACAAGCTGCAAAACATAAAAGAAATCCCTATCATGCTACTAATAGTCAATCATCACGCATCATTAGTTTATAGACTCGACACATGACTCAACTATTTATATTACTAAGACTCCATTAATTAATAATAGGTAAATCATTATTTTTATTTATTGGATTACGCAATAGACAAGGTTGTCCAACCCATGCTCCATTTGGAACATCAATAAAAGAAAAACCCCATGCCTCCTTTCGGATTCATCAATAAACATCAAATGACCACAGGCGCAACTCCGTGACCGTAGTTAGTATGAGATCACACCTAACTCCTAGTTTTTAAAAAATATTTAAAATAGGAGACTCGTAGATCAGACGACCTCGATAAAAGTACACGGCTAATACTCCGTGTACCCCAACCCCTGATTGTCATTACTCCAGATGTGCACCGATCCAGAGTTTTATTGCTCATCCATCTTGCACTTTACGTGATTTACAGGTTTAGACTTGGTGATGACTCATATGCATAACAATACAATCAACCCAATATCAATTCAATCAAGTAAAACAACTTTCCAATTTCAATTCTTGATTTATTAGTGACAAGCAACATTTATTATTTATTCCTTTAACTACCTCGGTGTATAAACACCTTCAGTGCATAAGGCACCCCAAAACCTTAACCTCGTCTTATAAGACTTGAATTCTTCCGTTACTCATCCTATTTCAATAATCATGAATGAGTAATAAATAAATCATTCCACAAATCACATACCTTTGCCTCTAAGCGCACCTTGCATAATTAGAGCACAAATAATTCTTGCAATATAAAATAGTTCACGTCATATGAAATTCACAATGTATAACCAAACAATTTAACTCAGTCATCCCTATACATGATATTAAGTTCTCGATCCGTCCTTAAACATGCACCTAAAAGCAAGGTTTCGTAACTTGTACGTACCTTGTGTAAACAATTTGGTTTACCACTTTAAAACTAGAAATCACCTTCAATAAACTCCTCTCCTAAATCAAACAATAATATCTCAATCAATACCCAATCAATCAATTTACAGCAATACTAACTTACTTTAAAACTTTCGAAATCCAAATCAAACAACACTTTAAAACCTTCCCTTTAGTTAAAATTAAAGGCTTATATATAGTTCTTTAAATTTTCTTCATAAAAACCTTAAAATACACTCTTATACATGAAATTACAGCAAGTTTAAAGTCTAATAAAAATCTGAAAATTATTTAAAAACCCTTAATAATCTCCCTTTTTAATGGATGATTAAACCCTCTTTATAAAACATCAAAAGTAGTACTTAAAAACTATTTCCAGCACTTCAAACTTCAATAAAAACATATATTTATGCTTAATTAACTTTAAACATAATTAATTTATTAATCAAACTCAAGGATAATATTTTTAGTATAAAAATCTACCTGAAAATCATATTTAGAGGTTGAATTTGGCCACGAGAGGGTGGTGCTCACTACCAAAGGTAATGAGTCTTTCTTAAAACGTTGTTTTTACATGGAAAACTGTACTTTTTTTTATCAAAATCGGATGAGTTCAGAACCTGATCAGGATTAAAACAGGATTAATATTAACGAACAGAAATCTACAAATTAAAACACGAATTTACGTGTTCAAAATAATCTGGAATTAAGTTAAACTACTCATTAGTTATAATCACCAAAATTTCAAAACATCATTACTATAAAAGTCCTAAATCAATTGTTCATAAAAACCCTAAAATCATGATTTTCAATAATTAAAACCCTAGGTTATAAAATTTACAAAATCTGAAAAATTATGACATTTATAAAATCTGAAATTATAAAGTTTAATCATCAAAATACAATTTGATACTAATTAAATTAATTTCAAACAATAAAATTAAAATCCATAAATTAATTAATTACACAAATTAATAAAACAAAGGAGAAAGAAAATAAGACTAACATTTTTGTGTGGGAAATTTTTGGGGATTCATGGGATATTTATAGAAGACAATTGTAGGGTAAATAGGAAGATTGAGCCTCAATAAAAATAATGGGTCAATTAAGTAAACAAATGGGTTAGGCTTGTTTGATTGGACATAAATTGTAAAATAAAGGTGCACCCAGATTAACACTATTGAAATTAAATTCCGGAAAATAACAAATAAATATTATAAATAAAATAAAATAAAATTTATATAATATTTTTAAAATACGGGGGATCACATTTTGTGAGGAAGCGGCGACTGGGGATTTCGTGGACATGGCTGGGGTTTTGTGGGGTTTCACCGGCAGGCTGGTTAGGGTGGGGGTGGTCAGGTGGATGATTTGGATGGGTGGTGGGAGATGGAAGGAGGCAACGGCTGCCATGGGCTCGGGGTTATGGGGAATTTTAATTTATAAAATTTTGATTTTTAAATTTTTTTTTAACCTATCATATGGTGACACGTATATCCTAAGTCGGAAAACTGATCGAAATTGAAGAAGGGTGGTGAAATCTACAGGTTTTGACATTAATGGATGGTAATTTTTAATTTCGAAAAAAATGGATGGTTAATTCAATACAAGGTACATTTAGGGGTGGTTATTTACAAAAAATCCTAATATCAATTGCACAATAAATTCCTTATATTTCTTAAGTGAAGTTTTATTTTGTAGCCTTCCAACCATCATCAGGTCCATCACATATCCTTTTCTCTATGCCAGATTGCCTTGCCAACGCAAAAGAATGAAGTAAATACAAATTTTGTAAAGGGAGCGTCGAGAAGGTTAGTAGAGAACGTGTCGCATACATTAACGTAACAATTAAGTCTCGACACAAGACTTGTATATAGCTATATCATCAGTACTCCCCTCATGAGAAAACTTCCTCAGTTATGCGGGTAGACATGAGGGCAGATGTTAGATAAAGATGCCAGAAACCCAAAATTTTCCATCAACAAAAGATTATGCTGCATTATTCAATTTGGTATATGATGATTTTTTGCTGCCATTTACTTCATTTAGCTCCAAGGAGATGCCTACACAGCTCCACGACCTAATATCCCTTGTTTCCTCGAATCCGGGCTCGCATATCAACCTGAATAAGAAAAAAAAATGCTTCGTATTAATTATATTTTTTACTCGAAATTTAACTTTCAATGGAAAAATAAAATCAAAGATTTATCATTGCACCATATAGTTGTTAGAATAATCTTGTATGACAATTGACAAAGCAAAACTACTACGAATGGACTATTTGTGCTGCGGTAGACTTGAAATCCACCAAATATGTTAAGTGAGGCACCAAGTTAGTACAAATTCTTAAATGGACTTAGTTCACACTAATTTATTGTGAACCACCAACATTAGAGACAATATGATTGTTTTATTAATTAAAAAAAAAAGGTCACTACATTAATATAAAGGTTATTATGTTGAAATAAAAGTTAGCGTGACATTATAAAAGTTATAAGAGGTTAAATTTTTTAATGAAATTTTTAATATAATGGTCAATATGAATAATAACGATCACTATGCTAAAATTAGGTCACTATTCAACATAATGTTATACTTTAAATTCATAATAACATTAAAGGTCACACGTTTTAAAAAAGGTTACTAGGTTAAAAATAACGTTACTATATTAAAATTAGGGGTCACTATGTTGAATATAATGTTAGTTACGTATGTATAAACCTTATGTCCACAATAATATTATTGTGGACTAGGTCCACGAAAGATTTTCTGCCAGGTGCAGTAATAATTCTGGATTTAGTTAATTTTATTACTAGCATAATACAGCAACAACGTTCACAGTTTCACATGAAAGCAACATAATTAAGAAAGGAGTTCACATGTAAACTAGAGACAGCCATGTAGCCTTCGATTGTCATACGAGCAGGAGCTTGAAGCTCCAAACAAAAGCAACAAACAAGTTGTTCATCACTAAACTTCCCCTTTCATCTTGGGAAAATGTTGCTGCTATCATTAACATCCTAAGTCACTTAAAAGGTCAGAATGATCAAGACGATTACCAAACACAGATAGAAATGATTAAGCAGATACAAAAGCATTGAAAGATAAAATCTAATACGAGCATCTAAAAGCATTCATGACTCATAATTAAGATTTTTCTAAACTTTCAACCTGTAAATATAGAACCTAAACTTACCTGACCCAATTTACATACATACTACAAATTAAACTGCTTTTCAATCACATTCATACGTCATTATAAAGTTCTTAGTAAACTTAGAGATAATCAAACATTTGTTTTTTTGTGGTATAATTCAGGAGCAACAAGTCCTAGATGATCAGAAAATTTCCCAATGTCTTATAATTTCAAGTAAAGGACATAATAGATGTGGTAATATAGGTTGTTCCTAAGCCTTACCCCTCTGTTCAATAAATTTAAGACAACTTAGATAAGTCCTTCTGCATATTTGGGCCAAGTTATTAGCAGTTTTGCCGTTTTGGTGAATGTCAATCAAAATTCAATTGGTCAGAGTTGGAATTCTGATTAAACAAACTTTGAGGTGGTGGTGTTCTGCATTTTGGCTTTGTAAGTCTCCTTTGCTTCCTTTTTCTCTAGTTCGGCTCTTTATTTTGGGTCAGTTTCGATGTAAGTTGCATTTAGTGCCTTGTTCTTTGGTAGTTTCCTAACGTTAAGTATGTTTCAGGTAGTGTTTGAAGCTGATTTGTATGTATTTACTTTTTAGTATAAAATACTGCTTTGTGGTTGGTTGTCTCCTTAATGGAATTGTTGGTTCTATAATTCCCTTGTGCTGTGTCCCTGTTTGGTTAGTGGTTGGATGGCCATGGTAGGTTTGTCCACTCTGGAAGAGTAAAGCAGGAAGTAAATTTGGGTTCAGACTCTAGGTATAGAGTGGTGGGAGGAAGAGATGCCCGGCTCTGCTCCAATGTTTCGTGTCTAGAAAATTGAGACGTTGTCCTCTTTGTAGTAGGTAAAGACTTAGGCTTCCTTGTTAGTGGGTTTGCTTTGAAGGATGGATTTTGTGGAGTCTTTTGTTAATAGGTCTTCGTCTATTAATTTTGTAGCGGGAGAAAGGTTTGGTGTGTACATTGGGGTTCATAGCATGCTGTCGATCATGAATTTCTATCCTATCAATGGGATAATTCGAGAACCTGTTTACCGTGAAACTACTTTCCTTAACGTTTCTTGCTTTGTCTCTATCTTTCAAGCTCCAAAGGTTTTTACAAGATTTTCTCAAGGTCAGTTACCCAAGCTTCACCTTAGTTGAATAAAGAAACTGGGAAGAATATGCTATGTTACTCAAACTCTTCATTTCACCACAAGTACCCATGTCGGACCCTTGACACTTGGACACGGATATGACACTAGACATTGCAATTTTAGTTCAAAATCAATGAATTTTTTTCACAAAATAGCCGAGTTGGTCACTTGGACACATACCCATGTCGGACATGGTTACCCGAGTCTAAGTAACATAGAGAATATATATTATAGGCTTCAGCTCGCTAGAATCAAGGCAGTGTTATTGTTACCTACAAAGTGGCTCCAACATTCATAAGCCAACAAAAAGAGCAGCTTCATTTACTTCAGCTTTTAATATTGTGTTTATAAGAGCAAGCAATGATCATCTTGATCTTGTTAGCTTTGTTCTAGTTAAGGTCTTAACAGGCCTAGTAGTTCTTATTGTATTAAACTATTTCAATTCATGCAAATTAAGTTAATGTTAAAAAAAATTTAAGAAAATGTTTGAGAAGAATAGATAAAGAAAGATTTCATAGAGTTGCTTCTTACGGCATTATGAAGTTTTATCAACTCATTTTTCACTAGCTTGCATATCTTCCTACATTACAAGTTCCATAATGTCCTGGAGCCTTATTTCATTATTTCAAGCAGCCCCCTCCCCATAAAAGAAATGGAAAGATAATTTAGTGACACCTTAACTGAATTGACTTTCTACACCAGAAGTTATGGTAGAAAAGCATCACTAATATCTACATACTTTAAATATAAATAAGGAGCTTTTCATGAAGTAAGGTTATTTTGTATGATCTGCAATTTCTCTTATCATGTCCCAAGATAAATTTGCCATACATGTTCTAAATTTTTATTCAAATTTCTTCTGTTAGAAAAATATTAGGGGATCAGCAGTGTGCACAAAAATACACATCATATATATTCAATTTATTTAAAAAAAAAAAAAAAAAACCCACACGTACAAAAACTAGATGAAATTGTGAAGATTGGCACAAAAGGAAGGCATACCTGGCCCCTCTTACAATTGAAGTATGTTTCTCTTAGACCAACACAATCGCTAGGTATACAAGGGGTTGTCTCCCCTGCACATTCCCTAAATGACCTCTTCTGCACCTACAAGTAAAACATAAGTCCGTGAATCTGCCTGCTAAAGATAGCAACCAAAGAGTCACAAATACCTAAGTTTTCCAATCAAACAAGTAGGCTACATGCAATGACCAAGATATCCTGGAACAAATTTTTAAGCACTCATGCTAGTTCTTTAACTGAACAGGTCTGTACTCTGTAAAAGATTCCTCACAATCATCAAGTAGTTGCAAACATGGTACAAATAGAGGAATTGCTAATATAAAGGAAAAAAGTTCAGTAGTTCACTATCCTCCTTATAGGATATTACTATAGGTTTAAAAGAATGGAAAAGGAAAATTCCAGTCTCATTTTATCTGCAAATTTATAAAATAAAATAAAACAACCCTTAGTCCCAAAAATTTTTGGGCATGGTTCATAGAACTACTTGAAAGTTGGAAAGCCAGCTATAGGTGGCTGAAAGTTGATTACCAGCTCAGAAGGTATCTAAAAGATGAAAAGTCTATAGATGAAATATTTAAGTTTGCCTAATAAAACCATCTTAAATATAAAAAGGTAGTTTAAGAAGACAACTTGTCAAAAATTAGAATGGTACTGAGTTAAAATTAGCTGAATAAGATGCAAGATAGAAGTTATTTATGAGGTTTGAAACACATGTTTCAAGCTTTAAAAAAAATCAAAATTATAAAAAATAATCCATGTTAAAAATTAGAGTTTTTTAATCTTCTGATTAATGAATGGGAGCTTACAAATCATCTGTAAATATAATGAAACTGTGAAAGGCAAAAACTAATTGGTGGATATGCATTTATTAACCTAAGAAGATAATACAATCCAAGAAACTAGAATAGAGTGGAGTATAAACTAAGATTGTGCAAAGATACCAATGGTGGAGGATATTAATTTAAGTTTGCATAGACATATTCAAAGGAGTTTGATCCTTAATTTGTTAGTATAGCTTTGAGGGAAGAAAAATCAATAGAAGTAAACAATTTAAGCTTTAGTAGTCATTCAGTGACACAATAGGTCATGGTGGTCTTTCCCCTTTACAGAAGAATGCAATATAAAGATACGCCAGAATTTTACTATGAGCGTGCAGCATCAGTTAAATATTATCAACTATCAGTTGCACACTTGCACCACATAATAAGTCATTACTTGCATATTTAAATTGCGCCCATCAATTTAATATTTGGCTGGTAATAAGTTAGTATAAAATTTTGACTAATGACTCCCTCCATCCCACATAATAACTTCACATCTCTCTCTTATTGCTTGTCACACAAAAAGCTTCCCAATCGTCTCTCAGCTTTGGATCTACATAATACAATAATGTTCTGCCGTCATACTAAATTAATTTACTCATCATCTCTCTACTCCCTTAATATAATATGGCCCTCACTTTCCCTCACCTCAATAGAAAAACAATATATAATACCCATTATTTAATTTTTTAATCCATGTATACTTCGCAAAACCCCACCATCAACACTCTCCTACAATTATGTGCCAAGGTGTCACGGTCCGAGTGTTTCAACACCGGATCGTGCGGCGCGCTCTCGTCTATTGGCGACAAGGATGTAAGCCTAAAGAAAGGGAGGTTTGTGAGCACATAGCAACACGGACCTAGGGTGTCTCAAGAGGGCACACGATGACAACGAGTGCGGAGTCAGGGCTTGTGACGGCCGATACTTCGAAGCGGGCACAAGCAGAACCGACGAGATGAGGGCGTCTCTAGGGTCTCTTGGTTTGGTGGGGGATGCTTTAAAACAAGGCAAGCACAATATCTATAAAGGCTTAAACAACACACAAGTCTTAAAACAATAGCAACGGGTAGAGAGCTTTGATTGAATAACCATTCGCTCCCTAAAGAACTTTTTATTGCATTAGTAGAGAATTACAAGTGAACGTTGAAATGACAGTAACACAATAATTCTCCCTGAGCCTAGAAAGTAAAAAGAAAGACTAAAGAGACATTACATAAGGGAAAATACTAGGAAAATAAAGTAGAATACATAATAAAGAGGTTGGATTCTAACATCCTCCCCCACTTAAGCCGTCAACGTCCTCGTTGACTTACAAAACATACACTAAGATCCTGGCAGCTTCAGTCTTCTGCTGTAGGGGTGGCTCTTGTTCTGGTTTTGATGTTGGCGCGGTAGCTGACGTTGCGGTTGTTGTCGTCGGGATCTGGATGGTAGGGTTTGAGACAGCTAACGTGGAAGACAAGGTGAATCCTCATCCACGCAGGCGGTTCCATCTTGTATGCATTCTTCCCAATCCGTTTAGTGATGCGGATGGGGCCTTCATATTTCCGAATCAAACGACGATATCTTCCTCTGAGAAATTTCAGTAGTTCTGGTAAGACCTTCACCATCACCATGTCCCCAATTGCCAAATCTACCGGTCTTCTGAGCCCATTTCTTCATCCGGCGCGATGCTCGCTCTAGGTAGGCTTTCACAATGTCAGTATTTTGCTTCCACTCTCTTGTAAAATCTCGAGCCTGAGCGCTCCTACCGCCTTCCCAGTCAGCCGCCACTGTGTGTGGGAGGAGAGGGTGTTGACCCGTGACCAGCTCAAAGGGGCTTTTGTTGGAGGAAGAACTCCTTTGAGCGTTGAAACAAAGTTGTGCTACGTCCAAAAGTCTCACCCAATCTTTTCTGGTTGGCGCTCACAGAGTGACGCAAGTCTTCTTCAAGAAGCCCATTGAATCTCTCTCTCTGTCCATCACATTGAGGGTGGTGGCTTGACGACATGTTGAGGTCAGACCCCATCATTTGGAATAGCTCAGACTAGAATATGCTCGTGAATCTGGTATCCCTGTCGCTCACTATGCTCTTTGGCAATCCCCAGTACTTCACAATATGTTTAAAGAAGAGCGATGCCGTTTCTTCTGCTCCACAAGCCTTTTGCATGGGTACGAACGTGACATATTTGGAGAACCTGTCTATCACCACCATGACAGAAGAGAACTGGTCCACCTTCGAGAGGCCACTATTGAAGTCCATTGACACACTCTCCCAAGGTCGAGTGGGTACAGGAAGTGGTTCAAGGAGGCCCCCGGCTTCTGTCTGTCAACCTTGTCTTGCTGGCACACAAGGCAAGTTTTGGTGTAGCTCATCACGTCTTCCTTCATTCCTGGCCAGTAGTACCCCATCGCGAGTAGACTCAGGGTTCTCTGCCAACCTGGGTGCCCCGCCCACAACGTATCATGGCATTCCTTCAACAACATTTTTCTCAATCCTCCTGCTTTAGGGATGAAAAGCTTTGTACCTTTGGTGAAGATGAGGCCATCGTCCAACCAAAAGCGTCTAGTCTTCCCTTCTTCAATCATTCTTGTTATGGTTTTTGTCATTGGATCATTTGGGAGGTAAGCACGAACTTGATCTCTAACGGATGTGGCAATGCTGCTTGTAATGTTGGATCCCGTTCTATAAGTGAACTCCACGTCGAAGTCGGCTAAGGTCTCTTGCCACCGAGCCTGTTTTCCTGTCAGCTTGGGTTGGGTGAGAAAGTGACTCGCCGCGGTGTTGTCTGTGCGGACGGTGAACTTTGATCCCAACAAGTAGTGCCTCCATCCTCTTAGGCAGTGCACAATGGCTAGCGGCTCCTTTTCTTGTGCCGCATACCTCCTCTCAGCATAATTCAGCTTCCTGCTTTCGAAAGCAATAGGATGCCCTTCTTGGAGGAGCACACTCCTCCTAAAGCAAAATCTGGAGCATCTGTCTCGACTAGAAATGGTTTGGTAATGCCTGGAAGGGCAAGAACCGGCTCCTTCACCACTGCTTCTGACCATTCCCAACGAATTTCTTTCCTCAATAGGTCGGTGAGAGGACTTGCGATCTCCGAGTATCCCTTGATAAACCTTCTATAATAGTTCGCCAGTCCTAGAAAGGATCGCAACTCGGAGGGGTTCTTGGGATCTTGCCAATCGCGAACAACACATATCTTCTTTGAGTCCATCCTCAATCGACCCTTCCCTACAAAGTGTCCAAGAAATCCGACTTCTTCCTGCGCAAAGGCACACTTTTCTTGTTTCACAAACAGGTGATGTTCTCTCAACTTCTCGAAGACCAATCTTAGGTGCTCGAGGTGCTCTTCCAAAGTCTTGCTGTAGACAACAATGTCATCAAGGTACACGACCACAAATTTGTCTAAGTATTCTCGGAATACTTGGTTCATCAGAGTACAGAACTATGTAGCAGGTGCATTCGTCAAGCCGAAGGGCATGACTAACCATTCGTATGCCCCGTATCTCGTCACACAAGCAGTTTTTGGTTCATCTCCTTCGGCAATGCGAACTTGGTGGTAGCCAGACTTCAAGTCTAGCTTTGTAAAATACACTGCGTCCCCTAACTGATCAAACAGATCCGCCACCAAAGGGATAGGGTAGTGATTGCGCACCGTAACCTTATTTAATGCTCGGTAGTTGATGCACAATCGAAGACTTCCATCTTGTTTCTTCTAAAAAAGCACAGGGGCCCCGTAAGGAGCCTTTGATGGGCGGATGAAGTCTGCCTCAAGCAAATCTTCCAATTGTCTCCGGAGTTCGGCCAATTCCGGGGGAGCCATGCGATAAGGGCTTCATGCTAGGGGTTTCCCCCCGGAACCAGCTCGATCTCATGGTCCACCGTCCTTTTAGGTGGAAGAACTTTTGGTAGATCTTTCGGGAGGAGATCCTGGAACTCTGTTAGTAGCTCGGCAACTGCAGGAGGAAGGTCTCCACTTGCTTCATCTTCCTTAGTGGAAAGTGTTGCTAGGAACGTGGGCTCGTTCCTCTTCAACCCCTTCTCCAATTGTATTGCTGAAAGGAGGGGCCCCTTCGGCCCTTTTCCAAGATCGCAGGTTCTGAGGAGACATGGTTGCTGTCGGGCACAAGAATAGATCTAAGGTGCGGCATCGGGAATGCCTTACTAGAGTGTAAGAAGTCCATGCCGAGCACCAAGCTAAAGTCATCCATCGGCGCAACGGTAAAGTCCACCTGTCCGCTCCAATCTCCTAGCTTCATTGTTACTTTCTTGGCAAC